ACCAGATACTTTATAAATGTTGAATTGTTGCTGATATCAGCACTGTTGCCACTCGGAAAAATAAGGGCAATGATTCTGTGCAGTTTTTTAATTTAATGTTCTCTTTAGACATTTTTCCCGGTACATTTAAAAGCCAGGCGAAGGCTGGACGTTTAGAGGCTAGTTAAGATAATAAATAGAAAATGCTGGTAAATTTTTTAGTCTTATGTTGTAATGTAGCTTATAGTCTGCTGATATGGATATTAGCAAGTTTTTTTTTACATTAAAAGCAATGTTTATGATTTCATGGATATAATGCATAATGTCCCCAAAATATCATTTTTAATTAATTCATCTAAATCGTCTTGACAAATAAATGCTGTAAATGAGATTTTATTTGGTTGTTCATATATTTCTCCCCTTCAAAACAAATAATTGATATCAAATCAAATTTTTGATAAATCTAGATTTTATAAGACAATTTAATACTTTGCGATAATCTTTTGAATTTTAACTAGTCTCAGTTCTATACAGCCATGTGATCAGTTCTATATAGCCATGTGATAAACAATGTATTAATTTCACGACATGTGTATTGTTAATGATAAGTATTAAAATGATATAGAGAAAAAGATTAGCTTTAAATATAGAGCTAATAGTAATGTAAATTATGTTTCATTTTAAAATTAAGCTACTACACTTTATTGTATTCCTCTGAAACTCAAAGCTGTTTATTTCATGTTCTGCAATTTAGTAGTGCTATAATAAATTTTATTAAAACCTCAATCTATTTTAGAATACTGAATTGTACACTTTTAACAAATATTGCACCGAAATCTCCAATGGACCAGAAAAATTCCCAAGAAAAACAATCTGCAGAAAAGAAGTCACCTTTTCAAAAATGGAGGTAAAACTTTTCTTCAGCATCACAAATTTAATGTTAGAAAATTACTTCTACTAAAAGGATTTAATTTTAGAGGTATACTCCCCCCCCCGAACCTTGAAGCATTAATGTCATCGAAGGAAATTGCATTTAAAAAAAAATCAAATTATTATGTAGTTTTTTTTTTCTAAAATATTTTCAAGTTAAATTGATGAAGTGCCATTATCATTGTGCTGATTTAGAAAAATGATGAGTCTTAAGAAACTTGTACGGGAATCGCACACAGATTGGTTTCCTAGTTGACACATTTAGCCTCAAGACTCGGGCCCTAACTAATTCGATACTGATGATTTGGCTACACTGAACCAGAGCTTTAACGTCTCATCCACCTTGCCACAAGTAAAACAGGATTTAACATGAAACTATAGAATATAATGCAACTACAAAATTCACAAAGTGACATCACATGCGAAACCTGACCTATATATCCTTTCTGCATCTATTACCAAATCATTACTTGCTCAAGCTTTGTATTTCATGATAAATGAATGTTCATGATCTTCCCCAATGTTACGATTTTTGTTAAAAGTACTATGTATCTCTTAAACGATTAAAAAACACTAAATTCTGAATACCGTAGCAGATTTAGCATTACCCGGGGTGTGCCACGGGGAGCTACACACACCTGCTACACTACACCCCTTCTTGGTTACATGATGAGCACAAGCGTATGATATATGATGATTACATGTGTATGAATGGAAAAAAGTAATTTCAGTATATGATTTTCATATTTACACTTTCATCTATTTTTTTCATGGTGGTACTTTTCAAAGAAAGCAACACCACCTTTAAAAAACACAACCCAATATTGCATGTTTTGCACATGTACCAAGATCTGTATCAGATTCACCATCTGAAAGCAATTCGTGTGGAACTTTCAGTGCTTCAGAAATGGTCAGCCCTCTCCAATCCATTTGGAAAATAATTAACTAATATCTACAATTTGAAATTATAAACTATAAAATAAAGCAGGATTTCATCAGTTGGCAATCAAGCTTTTCAAGATTTCTGAATGTGATAAATTAGAAACAAAAATTTGACCATGCAGTTTACATTTTTGAAATCCCACCTAGTATTTTTAATCAGACGATGAATTATGTCACATAATATACTTTTTGTTAGAAAAAGTATTTAAATGTGAAATGCACACCATACACAAAACATAAGATTTCAAAAACTACAAATTCTGATATATTTTTTATTTAAACTTATAAAAATTGAAATAAAACTATACATTAATAATACAATAAAGTTTGAAATAAAACTATACATTAATAATACAATAAAGTTGATACAATCTTTTGTAATTCAAAAATGTTAAGAGCACGCATGAAATGCAAAATGTTTAAATAACTTTGATTTAATGTAATACCTCCTAAATGACAGGGTCTTTCACAGCTATTCAATTATTCTGTAGCATTTATTAAACTTTTATAACAATATTTTGTTTTCATTCAATATAAATTTTTTTCAATATTTGTATACATTAGAAGAATATACAGATGAACATTAGAAGAATATTAAAATATCTACATATGTAAAAAGTTCTTTAATAGTCTGGGCGAATGAATATACGTTGGCACAGTTCAGGCTCGAGGAAAGAATCTGCTTCCAAAAGATATGAACAGCCACGAAAATAACACAGAATACGAAATCAGCAATTATTCATTATCTATACAACGCAAACTATTTACAAAAGGTGGTAACGAAAAATAAATGCAGCAGAACCAAGAACATTGAGGCTGCAAAGTATAAAATATAACTGTCTGTCTCCTATACTTTAGCTGAGCATATTTAAATTATGCATTCAGGCCTTGGGGGCCCTACAAAGTGCTAGGTTCCCCATGCTTTCCAATAACATCTCGCAAAATCAGGCACCGCAGAAACACTTTGGGGAGAACCAGGACCTAGCTTGGTTTTTAAGTCAGAGTTGAAAGCTGTCAATAAAGCCCTGAATTTAATGAGACTACTGATCTTAATAGAGATGTCTAGATTTTGAGGGACAACCATAGCTCCATTCAACATCCAAATGACAAGACTGAAAATAGTAGGCATAATGAGTATTTTACTACGAAAACCCCCATACTAGATTAGATATAGATTGCAGTTATGAAAAATCAGATCATTAAACAGCTTGTTTCTTATGTATGCACAGATGAGTTACCATCTGTTTCTCGACAACGCATTCAAACGTAACCCTCTTCCCCCCCCCAAAAAAAAAAAAAAAAAAAAACTGTGCTTATATTTTCTGAATATATAGCAAATACACCTAGTCAATAGGTTCACAAATTGCTTTAACCCTTTCCAGCATGCTACCTTTTAAAATTGGAATTTTGACAAAAAAAAAAAAAAAAAAAAAATAGGCAGTCTAATCAGGCCCAGATGAGTACACAGGGAACATTTTGTGATGATAGCACAAAATTTCTTTCATTTTAATTCTGTGGGTGTGCCCATTTCGGGCACACACCACACGTGGCACTGAATGAATAGATCTTCGAAAAGAGTGCAGAAACGAGCATTACTGGGAAGCACATAAAAGAATAAGAGATTCTGCCTACGATTAAAAAACACTAAATTCTGAATACCGTAGCAGATTTAGCATTACCCGGGGTGTGCCACGGGGAGGCCTGCTACACTACACCCCTTCTAAAAAGGCTCTTCTTGGTTACATGATGAGCACATGCGTATGATATATGATGATTACATGTGTATGAATGGAAAAAAGTAATTTCAGTATATGATTTTCATATTTACACTTTCATCTATTTTTTTCATGGTGGTACTTTTCAAAGAAAGCAACACCACCTTTAAAAAAACACAACCCAATATTGCATGTTTTGCACATGTACCAAGATCTGTATCAGATTCACCATCTGAAAGCAATCCGTGTGGAACTTTCAGTGCTTCAGAAATGGTCAGCCCTCTCCAATCCATTTGGAAAATAATTAACTAATATCTACAATTTGAAATTATAAACTATAAAATAAAGCAGGATTTCAAGGTAAACATTTAAAACTAATATAGAATAAGGAGATTAGCATACAACCAAGAAAATAACACAGAAATTTCAAAAAATTCTTCTTATATCCTAAAAGAAATTTGGAAGATTGTTTAGTTTATAAAAACCCTCATTTTTCAATGAAATCTTACGAGGCTGCCATCTACTAGAAATTAAGTAGGTTCAGATTAACCTATAAATCAATCAAAATCGTAAAAACAACCTTGTATTTAGCGTAAGTAAATTGAAACACTCAATCGATTTCGAGGGCAGCTAAAGCTCCCTCCTCATCAGGAGGAAAAAAATACCTAGAAAAATAAAAGGGAAGGAGTCTCAGGAACACGTGGTCCTTATCAGCACTGCACGTGGTTATAAACGGATTTTTAATCAGAGTTACACTGGCCGCCTACTTTTACAGAGCCAGGCTATCTGATCAAACACAAAGGACAAGAAAAATTAGCGAAGTTAAAAATAGGGAGCAAGGGGCAACTGCACCTTCACGCTCAAAATCTGAACTTCGAATAATGAACTTCTTGTCCTTTGTGTTTGATCAGATAGCCTTAGTAAAAGTAGGTGGCCAGTGTAACTCTGATTAAAAATCCGTTTATAACCACGTGCAGCGCTGATAAAGACCACATGTTCCTGAGACTCCTTCCCCTTTATTTTTCTTTCTAGGTATTTTTTTTTTCCCCCTGATGAGGAGGGACCTTTACCTGCCCTCGAAATCGATTGTTTCAATATACTTACGCTAAATACAAGGTTGTTTTTACGATTTTGATTGTCACATTAGCGTGTTTCTCTTCTAGTCTAACTTATAAATCCTTTTTCATTCAATTTTTCTGTGCATATAAAAGGAAATTTTTGCCGCAAATGGTTAAAGCAATAACACAAGTTTTTCAGAAATGACAAGTCAATTTTTCACACAAAATCTTTTAAATGATTACTGCTAATGCTCAATTGCCAAACGTGCCCCCAAATACCAAATGTTGTAGCCTCTTAATATTGCAACATGAATGCAACATATATGTGCAATACCAAGCTCACAATGCCAAATTTCTACAATTCTCAGATTTTTTTTATGTGTAAACAGATCACTCGGTATACAGGAAAATTGGTTTAGTCGTACACATAAAACACTTTTCCCCCATGTACACAAAGATTTATGTTCACTTAAAAAAGCATCAAAATTGTAAATTTGGTATTGTGCATAGTAAACATACATATGTTGCATAACACATGCAGCAAGTTTTTTTTTTTTTTTTCCCATGAGGACTGCCACTATTTAGTTTGATTTCATGGTAACATTTTTGACTGGTACACCATTACACAGAAATGTAATGAAAACTCATTAAAATAATATACTACACACAGATCATGAACCTGCCCGCAAATCTAATTTAATTATTAATCTCACACAGCATCTTTTCGGCATTTAAAGGAAATTTTTTTGGAAGTTTAAATACTTTTACATATATATATATTTCTTACAAAATTTAATTTCAAGCCCAAGTTCTTACGATATTTTCAAAAGCAGTTGATTATCTACCACTTCACAAGAGGAAAATTTTGATCCAAAGGTAGACCTTATTAAGGAAATTTTTTTGGAAGTTTAAATACTTTTACATATATATATATATATTTCTTACAAAATTTAATTTCAAGCCCATGTTCTTAATATATTTTCAAAAGCAGTTGATTATCTACCCCTTCACAAGAGGAAAATTTTGATCCAAAGGTAGACATTATTATATTAGTACCATATTAGAATTATTATATTTGAGTACCATTTGGTACTCTATTATAGTATTTCTAGTATTTTAATTGAGGCATTTCTAAGCTTTTTTACAATACTTGTACAGATGTATTTTGGTAAACTTTTCATTACTAGTCATCTGGTAAATGTGAACCAAATTACATCTGCCCAAAAACTTCAGAAACATTTAATTTTCCACATTTTACCCTTATTTAAGAATAGTTAACTTTATTAAAGCCATATTTAACAATGTCAGCTATTGGATCAATATCAGCAGTTAGTATATTTACCTTGTGCCTACTTCTACAATAGTAACTGTTGCTAGTTACTACTCTGGTTAAAAGGTCATTTTCCTCGATTTACCATATTCTCTTGTGTAAAAGGCAAACATTTTTTAACAACAAAAACAAAAAAAGTGATTTCAGGTCTTGATGACATCTGTGGAATACAGGTACCAGTGATGGTGATACTGCTACAGCAGACAACTAATTTTTACAATACCTACAACTACAATAAGAGGTTAAAAAACATTTCTTTTGACTGATAAAAAAAATTCTGTCTCAGCGAAGAGAAAGCTTATGTTTGAAAAAATTTTCAACTGGAGGTTAAAAAAAAACTACGGTTCCAGCTTATACACACAAGAATACGGCAATGCATTACAAGCTCAAGTCCAAAACTTTAAACAAGCAGCACTATAAGCATAGACCGCTTTGTAAAGTAGTAACTGCTGTTACTTTTAAGGTTCATCCCATTTTTTTAAACCAATTTATTTCCTAGAATAGCTCTTACCTTGAAATCAACTACTCTGGATGATTTAAATTAAAGTTCATAATATCACAGTACATGTAGCAATTTTTGTTTTGTAATTATATTCAAAAGAAATCAGCTCAAATAAGTTCGCACTCTATTTGTTATGGGCTTCCGACAAACTGCACAGTTGTCAAGTGCTTGAGCACATTTTTCACAGGAGATCAAATGCCCACAAGGAATGAATACTACTTGTTTTTCAGAGTCCATGCAAATTTTACATAACAACACATCCTTTACTTCATTTACCCCTAGAAAAGAATAAAAGAATTCATTGATTATAATATATGAGCAATGATTTTTTTAAGGTTTCGTAAAGAATATAAAAAACTAGAGAAAAACTGAGAATTTTTTAAATTTAAGTATTTTTTAATTAAGAATCATGGTTGTTTTCTAAATTTCTAACCTAAATACTATGCAATTAAAATTTTAAGGTTTTCATAAGAAATTCAGGAAAGTTTAAAAGAATTTAATATATGATAACAACTAGTTAATTGAATATAAAAAATTCCAACCTTACTTCAAACAGAAAATTTTTAAAAACTGCACTACAAGAATACATTTAAATGAAATCAATTACCATTCTCTAAAATCTTGCTGTCAGAACAAATTGCTTGTGAAGAACAAGATATTGCCGGGACAGTTCTATATAAAATAGAAAAAAGACTTGGGTCAGATTATTCTGTGAAACCAACATCAATCTATGGTTAAATTTTACTGACAAATTCTAAATTGGCATACTATGCTCTTTAATACATAATTCTAGAAGTTACATAATAACCATGCATTAAATATAAAACAGTAAATTTACAGATATTATAAATAAATGGAAATGTTATAAAAAATAAGTGCAGTCAAAAGTCTTTAATCCGGATCTCAAAGGTACAAACTTTCTGCGCATGCGCATAACACCTTTACGCATGCACGTTTAATGTATAACGGACGGTATAAATTACGGTTTCATATTTTTTATTTTATAATTTCTGCATGCCATCTTACCAGATTTAAACTGATGATCTATAATCCGGAATCGCTGAAGTCCCGAAGAGTCCACTTTTGACTATATTAGCTTACTGATTGATATGAGGATTACCTTGCAAAGATCACAAAATTAACTAAAACGCTAAATGCTTGCTTTGAAACTAAGAGCCGATATACTGCATTTGCTCTTAGTTCCAAAACAGCATGCATGTGAAATTCATCAATTTGTCTTTAAATAATTGTGCTAAATCAAATACTTTATGTTAATTTCAAAATTTTAATAAGCTTATACATCACGTTTAACATTTTTCTATTCATTGTAGCCGTTCTTCAGATTTTTCAGATAAATAATGATTTTGACATGTGCATCATATAAAAACAGTCCCATGAAACTGAAAAATAACGTTATTGCACAATACGTGCGCCTTAATTCTTCTGCACATGACATTATGCAATAGGAATCAACAGTTGCCGGTATTCGCATAATAAATAACTAAATAAAGGAAAACATCCCTTTGCTTCATCCTGTTTTCACCATCATGCATCCATGTGGCATATTTATCATTGAGAAGGCCATCACACTGCAATACTCTGACTGATTGAGAAAGACTTACCAATTTGGGGTGTTTTTCCATTATAATTTTGAAAAGATTGTGTTAAATTTCCACAAGGAATCAATTCTTCGCTTGAGTTGGCAGACCGCAGAACTTCCAGTCTTATTCAATACAGATTTTGAAAAGGACAATAAATGTTTGTTGCTTGCTTTGCTGCAAACTGTAATTGTTTCAATATTCGAGATTTTGCGGAAAAAGGGGAGACCCCCCCCAACTTCTGTACTGTATCATGCACTGGCAAAAAAAAATTAAATTACTTTGACTATTCAATTACATTCACTTTATTTATGGCATTCCGAATATTACACCTTTGAAAAATAATGTGTTAAAACACACCCACTTTTTAAGTTTATCTATACTTCAGCAGTTACTGCAAATATATTGTTATAAATATTCATACATATGCTCATAATATAAGCATAGCAATCATAATAAATGAGAATATGAACTGATCACACGGAACGAGAATGTAAATTATTAAAATCTTGATAGAATTTCAAACATGTGTAGTATTGGATGGAAGGAAAAGAATACGTAATGTACGGGAATTTTTTACTGCTTTCGCAATTCTTTGACCAACAGAATTTGACCTGTCTGTACTCACAGGTACCAAAGGTTACATTAATGCAAAGAAGGAGCGAAAAGCTATTTCTGGGAGTATGATTCACCATCTGATGTTCCATAAAAGGAAGTTGTTTATTTAGTTTCGGCTTTGTTACGGGGGAAAAATGTGTGTGCGTTAAAAAAAATAGCACTAAAAACAAAAAACTAAGTGCTTTAGAGAAAAAGTAAGCAACCTATATGAGCCTTTATATTTTATTTTCAAATATAAAGACTTGTAAGGACAGCTACGAACCCTGGCACTCCCTTGACTTTTTCCATGTACACATCGATGTATTTTCACTTAAAAAGTCAAAATCCTATTCTTCTTACTCTTGTAAAAAGCACTGGACCATTCTGCACTTTACCCAAGTTGTCTTTACAAGTTTATCAAGAATTAATTTGGTTCAGATAAAATCAAGGCAAATGCAATAACATGCTTATCTATTACTGGTGCGAAATTGAGGTGAAATTCTTACTGCTGTGCTGCAATAACATGCTTATCCATTACTGGTACTAAATCATACTTTGGCATATATGTGCTAACAATAAAACAAGTTCTATTAAGACATTACAAAACTCATTTACTTAATTTTTCAAGTGGGCAATATTCCTAGTTGGTTGAATACTGGGTAATCAGACTTTTACTGTACATTTATAAAATTATACATCATTAATACAATTACATAACAAAATTAATTCTCTACTACAGCATTTTAAATATTTAGATTTTATATTAAAAAGTGCATTACGTATTCACATTCTTTAAAGCATTCAATATAGCCCTATCGATGTAAACACACTTACTTTTTATTTTCATCATATGCTAGAATAGCTTCACATAACTCATGTAAAGAAGTAAAGTTTTGTCCTTCTGTACTGAAGTGTTCAAAGACAACTTTCTGAACCAAAGATTCGGGAAAAATCTTCATAGCTTCACAGACAACTTCATTATTTAAAAGACCTCTGGGCAGATGTCTTACAACAGGATTTTTTGGCACAGGCATACTCAATTTCTAAAATGAAATTTTTTTACTTCAAATAAATAACAAAAGCTAATCTGATAAAAAATAAATAAAATAAAAACAAACATTTCAAACTTACCTGCAAATTGCATGACCTCTGATTTACTTTTTCAGGCCTTCGAGATTGATTCTTGGAAAGAGCAAGGAATGCACAGTCAGGAAAGAATTTGGTATGCTCAACCCAAGGATCATCTTCCAAATCCCAGTTTCCCAAAGATCCTCCACAGAAATAACATGTTACAAGATCTGAAACTCCTGTTTAAAAATTGCAATATTTAGGAAATTCTATGCAACATGTCTAAATAATAATTTCTTTTAAATAACATACATGTAAAATCTATGCCAATATAAAATTGCTTTTTTGTCTAATTTTACAACTTAGATCAGCGATTCTCAACCATTGCGCCGCGACACTTTTCTGCACTGCCAAATTCTTAAAAGTGTGCCACCAAATTTTAAAAATGTATGTAGTAAAAATTACAACGGGTTTTATTCTAGTATACGGTACACATGAGAACTGGCAAAATTAAATTTTTTAGAGATTAAGAAGTGCACCAATTTTGGTGCTGAATATTTCCGTGTTTGAATTAACTTTGAACGAAGAGGAAGAACTAATTTTAAAATATTCGGAAGAATCAATTCATTTTGGATTAACATTAGATGTAATTACCCATGACGGCCAAAAACGCTTTAAAAATATTATTACAGTTTTCTACATCATATTTGTGTGAATTCGGATATTCAGTATTAACCAACATAAAACAACAACAAAAACAAAAAAAACAAAAAAAAAAAAAAAAAAAAAAAAAAAAAAAGATTATGAAGAGTAGCATTGTCATTTTTATGACCAAATGAAATTATCAAAAACATCAAACTCAAATTTCTCATTAAAAGTATTCTTATTATCCCTTAATAAACGTACTGCTGTTTTTGTAATACATTATTATTTTATTTTACATTTAAAATTATTATCATTAGCTATTTTACACAGTGTATTATTAGGTAAGTTAACAAATTTTAATTATCTTTTTCTTTGTGCCACCAAATTTTGAAATACGTTAAAAGTGTGCCACGACAAAAAAAGGTTAAGAATAACTGGCTTAGATGTTTCCCAGAGGTTTATTTTCTTTTAAATTTGTATTAAATTTTTAAATAAATGCAAAGCATACAAAGTGAAACAGTATCTTCTTTTTAATGGCCAGACAGCCCAGAATGGGCACTTGCATTCCTCAACATCGAATTCCAAGCTCTTCTATCCCAGGCCATGGACATGCCAATTTTTAAAATTCTTAAGTCTGTTTCCCAAACAGTCAAGCCACCTAAGTTTAGGACTCGCTCTTTTTCACGTGCCAAATGGTCTGGCCCTCAAAAATACTCAAAATTTTTCTTTCAAAGAAACAGTATAAAAACCTAATATTCATTCAAAATTAGTTCATCAGCTTGGAAGTCATTGCAAGATATGCGAACAAACTGCAAAGTGACACTGATGCTCTCTCAACAGACCCATGATGGCCAAAAACGCTTTAAAAATATTATTACAGTTTTTTACATCATATTTGTGTGAATTCGCATATTCAGTATTAACCAACATAAAACAACAACAACAACAAAAAAGTTATGAAGAGTAGCATTGTCATTTTTATGACCAAATGAAATTATCAAAAACATCAAACTCAAATTTCTCATTAAAAGTATTCTTATTATCCCTTAATAAACGTATTGCTGTTTTTGTAATACATTATAGTATTTTAGGAGTATTTAGGAGTATTGGCTTATAGTATTTTAGGAGATTCATTTTTAGACAAATACTAGCAAGCCCCCAAGTTATGAATTCCATGGGAATAAAACTGGGAAAAAATAAGAAGTTGAAAATAAGTTACACATTAAATGAAATTAATACATAAATATTAAATTTAAATGAAGGTTATATTCATTTTACAACAAAACTTAAACTTTATACAACACTGAACAGTAAACTTGACATAGAAAATTAACTCATAAAAATCAATTAAAACTTCCACGATGTTTTAAGTAAAAACACTGTTAAACATTAACAAACACTGATCAAATGAGTGCACCAATGCAACATACATTTCATTTTCTTCACCTTCTCACATATGAGATTACATGAACAGAAATATGCCAACGTAATAGTATTGGTTAAAAAAGAAACCCAAAGTCTCGCATAGATTTTGAATGTAATTTTCAACTTCAAGGGCAATCAATATACAGGTCTCTTTTCAGGAATCTCCTCCCCAAAAGAGAGCACATAAATTTCATACTGAAAATAATAAGCAGAGTTAAGCAAGCATGAATGCAGCATCTATGGAGGCAAATAGTGATGAAAGAGACATGGCTCAATCAACACATAGACTCGTATCACTTCTTTTTGTCTTATGTGACAGATCTGGAAGTGGTGCATAGATCACCACAAACAAAAGCTTTGCATTCCTACCTCCTCTAAAATTTCCAAGAAAAGCCTCTTCTTTCTACTTCACAAGCTTAAACTGAATACAGAGAGACAGAAGTTTAATCCCAATTCTTTTAAGATACATCCAGAATTTTTTCCCATCACGAAAGGTGTCCAAAATCTCACCAAACCTGTGCCAACAGATCAATTAATTCTCTATTGATAAATACAAGTTCCGGATACAGCACATATGACCTTCAAGATAATCTAAATGCCAGTAGAAGGAACAGATAATTCTTTAGATAAATAGATACATGTTACAGATATAGCACATAAAAAATTTAATATGATCTTCAAAATAATCAACAAATTTATTAAAACTTGTGAATCATTTCAGTGGCCAATATCTCCAATAGCATCTGAAATAAAACAATCACCTTTGCAAAGTTGATGCTATATCAATTTGTTAAAATACGTATCTAAAGTGGTGATGCATTTATTGTGCACACTGCTGTTCTTGCTCAAAGCTTAGAAATCAGTCCAATGATGCATATAACATTAAAAAATACACTTTTTTTTTCTGCAGAAAACGGGTATCAAACTTGTCTTTTATAAAAAGTAGTATTACATATAAATAGTTATATTTTAACTACATAGATATACATAAATAGTTGTATTTACGTAGTACCAAAAATTGAACTGGCTTATTAAAGATTCGCATTATATAAAACCAAATTCGTTATATCACATTTATACTGCCACCAAACTGCAATTTAGACTTCTAATAAAAAATGATTGAGAAATGTCGATGAACTTTTCTAGAAAAAAATGATGGAACCTTGAGAAAGATATCAAAAATGAAAAATTTAACCTATAGGCTTTTGTAACTCTAGCAACAATATTTCTACTTGCAGATTATGGATATTTTAGAAAATTAAAACATTACAATGCTCACAGGACACAAATATTTATTTTCTCCAATAAATTAAATTTTAATATTATATACCTGTATAAAAAAGACCACACTCTGAAAGCTGTTGAGGAGTTAACATCGTTAAAGGCCAACCTTTATAAGTGAGGAGACGCCTTTTTATATCTGCCATTGCTGGATGCTTGGGCTTATAAGCAGCAGATGTAGTTCGAGAAGAATAGCCTGATTTCTCTGATGAAAGTGTAAGAGGAGCTGACACATGACGACTAAGTGGCACATTTCCAACACTGCTACTCAAAAGAAAAGGGCATGCTGGAGACTGTCTTAAATGTTCTTTCAAAGGTCTGTAACCTCGTCCCCAGTTAAAAACTATGACGTAGCAAAACGGACACTGTACTCTGTCTTCTGATTGCAAATAAAAAAAGCCAGCTTCTGCCAAATCTTCTGGTTTTATGAAATCCTTTGGCCATTTACCTCTGAAGGAATTTAAGCGGTTAATTTCATACTTCATGGATTCAAATATCTTCTGTTCAGATGGGTCAGCCTTATTTTGTACGCTCTTCGGTTCATCGGGAACATCAAAAGACTGGGAAATACTGCTCAATTTAACACAATCTGGCTCTAAAGAAGGCTTGGGAAAATTGACAGATGGTGAACTTAAAGCTAAAGCCATGCTCATTTTCTTTTTCCCCCAAGAAATGCAATTACACCTGTAAAAGAAAGTTCTTATTAATAATAAAATTTTACATATTTAATGGCTTAAAATTGTGAAAAATTTCAAAATATGATTAGAACAAATATACAAATTAAAAGTGAACATAGCCTTCAAATACGATACAAATGTTAGCATTAATTGAAAATTCTCGTGATTTAAAATCTTATAAAAAAAGGAGAAAAACCTCTCAATTATTATTGTAGTTAGTTTGTTGTAGTTTTAAGAGTTTGTTTAGAAAACTGCTCTTGACTGTAGCGAATTTGCGGATTACCTTTCTCTAGCTGTTTTTAATTAAGTTCTGTTGAACGTTTGAGTAGTAAAAGATAATGACAGTCAAAAGTCGTTAATTCGGACACCCATAATCCGGAATGATCTATCGCCGAAGTCCCGACGAGTCCGGATTAACGACTTTTTGACTGTACTGTGAGATACTGTACGAATACCTAAGGAAATTGAAGTATTGTGTGTTTTATTTATTTGTGATAATAATAAATCTTATTCATTTTTCATCGGACTTGTGCATTCAAATTCCAAACAAACCCGTACGCACAGAACAATTTTTGAACAACAAGAGCGATGGAAGAGCAATTAAGGCAGTTGATATCAGCCTTTGCCTCGTTTAAAGAAGAAATGAAAGAAAAGATAGATGCTGGCCAGGAAGAGATGAAATTGGGCCAAGAATCTGTTAATGCAGAAATGAAAGCGAATCAAGAAAAGATGAAAGCTGTTAAAGCAGAAATGAAAGTAGGCCAAGAGGAAATTAAAAGAGAAATCACATGCATAATAGAAAACAAATTCGAAGCTATAGAAGACAGAATTGACACGGTTGAAAACAGAGTTGGAGAAATTGAAGAAAGGGTTTCTACCGTCCAACAAGAAACTGCTGACAAGATTTTTGTGGTTGCCAAAGAAATCGATACTTTAAAGAAGATCGTAGCGATGGCAGGGAGCAATTCTGATAGTTTAAAATTTTACCCATGCCTGCTTGTTCCTCTTTGAAGTTATCTAAATATGATGGCAAGACCTCTTGGCAAGTGTATAAAATACAATTTTCTATAGTGGCAGAAGCGAATGGATGGCATTCCCAAGCTAAGGCCTGTCATCTCGCCGCTTCTCTGAGAGCAGACGCTTTCCGAAAATCAAAGACTAAATTTTGAAGCTCTATCCGCCGCTTTGGGGAAAAGTGTTTAAAAGACTACAGCAGGCTTCAACTAAAATCCCGCCAACAGAAGCCCACCGAAACACTTCAGGAGCTCGCCACGGATGTTAAAAGGTTGTCACATCATGCCTTTTCGGAGTACCCGACAGAAACAAAGGAAATTTTGTCCCTGCAACACTTCATTGATGGCACCCAAGACTCTGAAATACAGAAAGCACTGCTAATGGCGGATGTGAAGGACATAAAAAGCACTCTGTTGTACACGAGTTCGACACAGCCCAGCAAGCAACTCTTAGAGATCGCTACGCAGTCAGAGCTGTGCGAGTCCACACGCCAGTGGATCAACTGATGGCTCGTTTAGATGATTTAGCCAGAGAAGCAATGCTTTGATACAGAGTAGAAGTAACTGGCTCTAATGTGTTGGAAATGTGGTATTGAAAGGCACATACAACGGCACTGCAGAACACCCCAGGTCACGGAATACTGGTGAGAAGAAACCAACCCTAAAGTGCTGGAACTGCGGTGTTGAAGGCCACATGCGAAAGAACTGCAGAACACCCCAAAGTACGAAAAATAAAAGAGGCGAGTTAAACAGACAATTAAATGCCATGGGAAGGAAAAGGATTGACAAGAAACTAAAGTGCTGGAACTGTTGAGCTGAAGGCCACGTACAAAAGAACTGCAGAACACCCCAGGGTACGAAAATTGAGACCATTTCTCAGCAACGACGCAAGAAACAAATTAATGACCATATCAAGGAACGGAGGTTGCCAGATAAGGAAAAACCTTGTTTTAAAGCACTCAAGATTTCTACATTGAGTGGCAACAGTAACGGACTGTTCATCAAAGGGCATGTCGATGGAGTTCCTTGCAATATGATCATTGACACAGGAGCTAATGTTACCATCATTTGGAAAGATTTAACTGAACAGTTTAAAGATAAACTTATTTGGACGCCATCCTGTGTTACCCTTCAGACTGCATCTGGTCATAAGATCGACATAGCTGGGAAGTTAAACGTGAACGTATGTTTGGAAATGATGCCTACCATCACACGGCATATGTGGCGGATATTACAGATCCATGCATACTCGGACTGGGCTTTTTAAGGAAATACAATTTTTCCTTAGACTTCAAAAATAATAAGCTGTTCTCAGCATCTGAGGACATGACGATCCATCTTCAAAAGGAGTCATCGCCTGGAAACACTGACGTCTCATGTGAAAGACCCTATTCAGTAAGCTGCCAAAATCATACTACGGTCGGAAAGAAACACCAGACTAAAGGCTATTCTCCATCTCAGATGTTCTTGGGTCGAGACCTTCGACTGCCTTGTGACTGTCTGTTTGGTCGCCATACGGATGCGCCTTCATCGCCTAAAGAACATATCCAAGATGTCCAGTCCCGATTTAAAGTGATGCACCATTCCTCACGAAAGTGAGTCAACTCTGCAACGGAGAAGGTGAGGACGAGATATGACACGACAGCTATTGGACATCAATTGTAGGAAAGAGACAAGGTGTGGTTGTGGAACGCGATTCGACGAAAAAGACTCAGGCCTAAATTACAGTCACCTTGGGATTGTCCATACACAGTCCTAAACGGGTTGAATGACTTCATGGTTCGGACTCTAAACCTAAAGTCGTTCATTACAACAGGTTAGCTCACTACTATGGTCATAGTACGTAGTGTAAATAATGTAAGAACATGGTCCTTTTTGTTTCTAAATGTGTATTTTGTATTTGATTTGTATTTATATGATAACATTTGATTTGTTTTAGTTATTGCATTTATTGTTCATGTTGGTTGTTATTGTAATGCAATGCTTATTATTGCATTTATGCCATAGTTATAGGTTTTGCTTCCTGTCCAGGGATTGTACTGCCCTCGGAACGTGCAGTCCTCGGGAAGGAGGCAGTGTTACGGATTTCATATTTAAATAGCTAATGTTAGTTAAATTATAAATTAAATTGTTTTATTCCCCCATGCAGAGTAGCGCGTGGTTAATTTTACAGGAAAAAATACAGAAAATTAAAAATACAAGTGCACGTGCATTTAACATTTAATAAAATAAATATCTTTTTGATTTCGAGAAAATTTTCGAGCACAATTTAAAATCTTTTAAAAAAGAGGAAAACCTCTCAATTATTATTGTACTTAGTTAGTTTGTTGCTGTTTTAAGAGTAACTAGCGTTTCATGACGATGTGAAATCAAAGTGTGTAGAGTAAAATCTCACCTTCCTATAGCCCATTATGTCTCAAAATGACATGATTTCGTCACAAAACATAAAATAAAAAAAAAATTTTAATCCAAATTTTGAAAAAAATCGCTTTGAGGTGCACTGGCTCTCGTCTAAATGCACCTATGTACCAAATTTCTTAGCCGTGGGTCTATTAGCTTACGCGCAGTGCGAACGAAAGAGAGAGAGACAAGACTCTTTGTTTTATTATATGTAGAGATGAGATGTTCAAGATTTGATGACATAAGAGATCGCTTTTCTAGAAGGGAAATAAATAAACTGGCTCCGAAACATATGCCTCCGAAAAGTTCGTTGAAAACTGCAAAAGAGTTTACAGTCTTGGCGTAACAGACCGAAAATCACAAATTTGCTGCACCATGGGTGAGAAAAATATCTGCGGTAAACACAGCACGATTTCTTGAAAAAAAACCAAAAAACAAAAAAAAAAAAAGTGAAATGAAAAGTTTTATTTTGAAATTATTGCTGTAAAAATGAATATTGCATAAATTAGTACTAAATTCATCTGCGCTCAAAAAGAAATCAGTTAATTTTTGTTGTTAATGATAAATATTTCAGTCTTAAAATTGTTTTAAAATACAATTTTATTAGACTTAATAAATTAAAAGTATATTTTTATATTTTATACACTGTTTTTATTATTTAGATCTTTTTCTTCAATTACGCAAGCAATTTTATTCTTGTTTTGTTGAGAAAAACGCTTTGAGCCTACAAAGCCCGACGTGCTTCCTCGCGTAGCTAAAAGTAGCGAGCGTCTTCGCGAGTTAAAGACTTTTGACTGTAATATCTTCACACTAAAACTGATTTATCGACTTGAATGCTCATCTGCGATGCATTCCTCCAGTTAGTTTTTCAGAATAATTTGAAAGTATATGTATGGGATAGTTTTGATAAAATAAAATTTTACTAGTTCCCACACAAAAAAATACTAACCAGCAAAATATTATGCACTAATCTGTTAAAAAAGTTCTATTCATTTATGTTCAAACTTTGCAGTTATTCAAAAAGTTATATTGTTAGTCAAAAGTGCAAGAAAGCTACCTTTTTAAATTGAGGAATGCCTTCATAGAGGACAAGTATACAACTAGTCTTTTGAGCAGTAACAAAACATTTGCCTAGCTACAAGTGTTTAATTGTTTGTCACTTCATCACAAGTGAGACTTTCATGATAGGGGCAGTTACTTTCGAAATATCCATGATAATTTTCAAGTGGTTTTTTTCGGAATCAATTACCTGAACATTTGAGATGTTTGCATTTAAAATATATACTACAAATATATCACAAACCGATATTCATCTTTCTCGAAAATCAATTTTCTTGAACTCTTAAGATTTTTAAAGATAGTCTTTTCTCGGAGCATTTTAAAATTATTTTCATTAACTTCTTTTATTAAGAAATTGAAATCAGACAATATCCTTACCCTATGCTCTTAATGACCTTTGTGAAATTATGAAACTATTTGTTCATTCATGACCTTCTGGATGATCTTGCAGAAAATGTGTGCTTTCTTGTCGTGATTAAAAAAGAAATTCGTTCTATAAATACAGCCAAATACCAAAAATCCGCCAACCTGAAAT